AGTTCTGTGTTTATGTGTGTGGATACCAGTGTGTGTATTGGGGAACTGTGGTGCAGTGGTTAGCGCACTGTGCTCTTGACACTGGATGAGTACAATGTCCCCAACTGAGCACAAGGCACGAATTATTTGGCAATGGACATCTTATAAATTGAAGCACATTTTTCAACTCGTATCTCATTTCAGCCAATGTAACAGCCAACAGAGGCATGTGTTTGCGAAGAAGAGCCACCATTGGATGTTATTTGTCTGCACGAATTAGCAGATGGTTTGCTTGGTACATAGCGTTCCTGGAATGACATTGCTGAAGGGGTGAGGCTGCGTTCCAGTGAACTCTGAACCATAAGGAAATTCCATTGACACCAAAGCGGGTGGCACACGAAGCGTTTGTTACCAGTTTCCAGAACAATGACATGAATATATTAAGCGTATATTTAGTTGGAACTCAAGTTCCCATAAAGAAAGTGCGACGGTTGAGGACGTCACTTAACACAGACACCGAGTTATGCTTGGCTCAGCGGTCTCTTGTTACGAGGCCAAAACCTGGGTTACATCTGCAGTTTTGTGAACACAAACCCGACACTTTATACGGCACTTAAATTCGCATACATAACACGAGTGAATGAGTCTAGAATTGTAATTAAACAAACCACAATACCGTACTGTCATAGAAAAATTGTGACAACGGCAGACACTCTTGTTGCATCCAAGCCAATACTGAGAACCATCTTTATCAAGTTAAACCAAGACTCCCACATTCTTCACCATTACAGCGATACACAAAGAAGAATATCCCCCATTATAACCAAGTGCTGTACAATGTTGAGGCAAGTCCTGTTTGCGAGCACCTTTTTTAGGGCGGCACAGCACACAAGGGTGGGGTGCGGACAGCACCACAACTGACCACCTCTTTCTTATTCTTGGTTCTTTCGGTAAAGTCACGTAAAAGGGAAATAATAAAATAATAAAAATAAAACATAATACAATAACATACGCTGCCAAGCTTAGCATTGTTCATTGGGACGCTGTCTTTCCGACAGCTCTGTTCTTCACCTGAGGACGGCTGCTTGTGTTGTGGCCGAAACGTCGTGAGATTTTTATTTTAGTATGTTTTATTTTTATTCTTTAATTATTTATCTTCTACGTGACTTTACCGAAAAAACCAAGATTATGAATCCCTGCAGTCACGAAAGCTTTAAATCGAAATTTATTTTCCTTATTTTATTATTTCCCTTCTACGTGACTTTACCGAAAGAACCCAGAATATGAATCCCTGCAGTCACGAAAGCTTTACATCGAAATTTCACCTCTTTCTTCTCCAGTGCTGGTGCTTTCACATGACACTGGATAATGAGTACATTATTCAGCACATTGATCGAACCACTAAACCACACTGGTAGGCACACGTAAACGTAGAACTGACTCACCAGGCACTGCAAAGGCAACTATACACACTGACAAAAAACTCGGGGGGGGGACGGGGAGCTGTAATTTTTGTTTCATCAGTCGCAAAAATTAGTGAGCGATTTGTTTTAACCTTCATGTGAAATCTAATACAGTATGTCCCACAATCCAACAAAACGTGCACACACCACGCAATTATATAGTTTGGGTGGAATGTTAATTGTTGTATAAATATCAGGCCAGTATCTTTAAATAAAACCTGACTAAGCAACTTAGGGCCGAGCCGTGCAAGAAGACGGTCCTACCCGGATACGCGCCGTTGTTGAGTGGGCTTGTCTGCAGGCACGCAAGGTCAAGGAGGGTAGAGGCCCCCGATTCAACACCACTTGGCATAAGCACGTCAAGCAAGAGGCACTGTTGTTGTACACGTATTTATTTTTTCCACCATTGCACTTGCCGCCGTAGTTGGAATGGCTGTTCGGTGAACCGACCTCTTGGGAAACGTGAATTTGCGTTAGTCATTGGAAATAAGTACAGCTGCAGGGTGCCGAACGTTTGGCGAGCTGCTGCCACCGCCGCCGCTGCTACTTGTTGTTGTTGTTGTGGGACTCCGCTGTGTAATCGCCGTTGTAATGTCTTTTTTTCCACATTACCATGTGCCAGACTGAATGAATTAGCACTCAAAATATGATGAGCATGCGAAGGCTGAGCAGGACAAGCTTTGCCAAACTGAATGTGGCAAGCATGCCAAGTTAAGATCAACAAGCATGCTAAGGCCACTGCACGTATTGATAATAATCGTGTAGAGCAAAGAAACACCGCGGTTTATCGTTTGCGTTAAATGGCAAACATTTCCAACCAACATAACTATGTCGCACTCTTTCAATGTTGCCATATTTAAGGGTTTGTTAACACGAAGGCTTACGTGACCAATATCCATAAGAGGTTTTTGGATTAGATCACGTAAATATTAATGTATAATTAAAACAACTCTTGATGTCCGCCTGATGATGTTCGTTATAATTACTGGTGAAACGCTGTACTCAAATTGTTAAAGTTGTGGGTTTACTCTCCAACGCACCGGTGTGCTGAGCTAGTAACGAATTGGCATGTTTCTTTATGTGACAAACCTTAACTAACTGGCTTCAGGGCCTTGCGAGGGTTTGCTCCACATCATATTCAGGAGCCAAGTCAAAGATCTGCTGATTGTGCCCTTTCATGTATACCTCCATCGCGGTTACTTTTCTTGGGGTGATTGGGAATTGAATGGTGCCCCCCCCCAAGTTGTGGAACTCCTTACTGGAGATCAGGCTCTCGGAAAGTGTTGACATCTTTAAATCACGACTAAAAACTTATTTTAAAAATATAAATCCGATTTAGTTTTGTTCCTCTTGGACTCTTATTCTTCCACCCAGTTATTTCTTTATTATCTTTCTTATTTTCATTCTCGGCACGTTGAGACTTTTGTGAAAGGCGCCTTAAAAGTGCAAATTATTATAATTAAGCATCCTATGTTGAACAATGATATGTTGCGGCTTTCATTAAGCAACTCAGTTGCACATTGCGGTACCTCGCCATAAAAAATCAATCCATTAATTTTCCTTGGTGTTCTTTACAATTGTATTGTGCGGCAGGCGTGCATTCAGCGCCATGCTATGAGATTAAGTGTCCGTATGGAACTCTCACGAAGCATTGCACCACCCCCGCGTTAGAAAACGGCCACAGGAGGTGACATCACAGAACGAAGGCACTTCCAAAGCCACTTCGAGTGACTTTTTCATCCTCACTCGGGGGGCGGTGTACTTACTCGCGTGCCCTATCTAGCACGGAGAAAAATGGGCAACACATGCCGGTGATTTTTAAACCAATATTTTTGTTACAATTCTCACCGCTGGAATTAAATTTGAACGAGTGGGGGTTTTTGCTTTATCCCACAGGGTTTTTTGCAGTTAGTGGTAACCAGACAGAAACCATCAACTCTCTGCACCGGAGAAATGAGCAACATGCACACCATATACATCGTCACCGACACACACACACAAACAAACCAGGCATCTAAAATTGGAAAAGAAAAAAACAATATGTAAATAAATTTCCAAACCGAGTGCCTAGAAATAAAACGACATTAGAAAAACCCCAACGTAACAAAAAAAGACGCACACCCCGCACAAAACAAAGAATAAATAATTTTGTTGGTGACAATCCAGGCGATTGTTCTAAAGTTTTGAGGAAGGGCAGGCAAGCGGTCATTCTGCATTCCTATTCTTCCCATGAGTAAACACAGGCGCTGTTGTGTGCTGCGGTGGCGGGTGAGCAGCGTGGTGGATACGAGAGCACAAGTGAGCGACGGAAACCTTCGTATTGCAGGAAGCGTTAAACCTGCACAATGAACGCACCGCTGTGTGACGCTCGTGGCCGCCAGATGCTAGATAACGGTCGGATTTTTTCCCGTTATAAAATATTAGTGCGCGGCGCAGTGGCGAGATGTTAACTGCCTCGTCTGGTACGCAGGAAGTCGTGGGGTCGATCCAAACCCTGACGCCTGTATATTTGGAGTTTGCGTGTTCTCCCCGTGGTCGCGTGGATTTTTCTCCGGGTCCTCTGGTTCTTCCCTCCACATTTAGAAACTTGCGTTTAGAGTATTTGGGGGCTCTGAATTTCAACATAAGTCACTTTTTTGAGCTGTCATTTGTGGCCAGGTCGCTTGTCTGAAAAAGTGGATAATAGCTCAGTGGGCCTTACCTGCTAAAATTTAAAGTTTAGTTTACTCAGGCAGAGCGTGCCAAAATAAGTGATTGCCCACGTGATTGGTTGCTATGTTTACGTTTTTATAGAACATCTGGTAATCAAGCAGCATTTGTTGAAAACAAGCCTGATTGATCTTGCTTATGAAACCCAGAAAGACAAACCCGTTGCAAGAGTTTGCTTGCGTAAACAAATGTTTGATTGCTATTACTGGTCTGTAAATCCAATAGTCTGATGGATTAAAACACATTTTATCCATAAGTTCTGCTTATATATGTTTAAATCCAGTCGATTACATTACAACATTTTACAAGTAACTCATAGCCGGTAGGCAAGTTGCTGAAGTTGTCAAATGCATACATTTTTACTCTTAACATTGAATGATAAAATTTCGGTTGTTTATGTACAGTATGTTGAACTGCTTTTTCACCATACATAGCCAACCGTGCTAATTGGAGGTGCGGGGGAATGACACTAAACACAAAAAGCAGTTCTAGAGAAAATAGTTTTCAATCTAGATTTTAAAGTACATGGCTCCAGAGGCTTCTTAATTTCGGAAGGAAGAGCATTTCAGATGAGCGCAGAAACGCATCTGAAAGCGCGTGATGCAGTGACCATCTTTGTTCGATGGTCAGCTAAAAGCCAGCTGCTGTGAGGATTACCAGAGTTGGCGTGATGGTTTATGCTCTTTAACGAGATCAGCAAGGTATTGTGGTCATAAGTGGCAAGCACTGCATGTAATGAGAGCGATCTTATTTTTTTTTAAATGTAAGTGCGGCAACCGTTGCTCCAACGCTTTCTCCGTGTTTTTTGAATGAATGTCTGATGCGTGGCACTGTGTCCGGGGCAAGCACCTGTGGGCGAGGATGTGCTCTGCTCTTTCGTGACCAGGACCTCTCCAAGGAGTTCCTCCTTGATGTCCCATTCTACCTCGCCCTCTACAATCAAAAGCGGGGCACAGCGCACAGGGCACAAAGCACAAAACAAATTGTAAGGCACCGATCGTGGACCGTTCAAGAAACATTACTGAATCCTGGCAGTGACCCAGATGTTAAAATCACATGGCAACACAGCAAGCCAGAGTTGTTGATGAGAGTGACATAGCAGGGCGGCAACGTTTATAAATGTTTTTATTAGGAACTGAGCAGATAGCCGTGTTCACGTGTCACTTACGCTCCTCAGTAATCACCGGCCGCACACGTCACCAGTGCGATACCCATACGTAGCGATTACACGCGCACACTGCCTGGGCACATGTAGTAATGTGAGTGTCCTTCGTTTGATACATGCGTGTGGGGTTCATGTGTAAGCAGGGAGTGGTAGTGTTTAGCACAGTGCACTATGACCCTGGAAACCCGAGTTCGATTCCCATTCACGACCAGTATTCGGTGGCCCTGAGACTCCCCTAGATCGACTCAGTCTTAATTGAGTACATGGTGAAATGTGTAAACATCAGCACTGTGGGGCCTTTGGTAGCAGGGCGTAGTGCTGGCCACCCTTCCCCTCATATGCCGTGGTGTCTTTGATATGTGCTGCCCAACATTCTCATGTCAGCCCTACTGGAGATCTTTGTCTTTGTGTAAATGAGTGCGCACAATTGCCAGACAATGTGCTCACTTGAACAATATTTAAATGGTAATTTTTAATACCCTTACGAGGGATTTATAGCTTAAAGTATTATCATTAGAATGAACCAAAACAATAGCTATGGTTGAAACAGTTAAGGCAAGTAATTTGGAAATAACACATTTGTGGCTTACGGAGACTTCCCGGTTCCTTCTGGAAAGTCCCAGCGCAGTATTTATGACAGTTACACCCCAATAGACAAACACATCCTGTAGAAGCCATGCAAACTGTTGGGGCAAGGGCTGTGGGAAAGCACGACACAAGAGGGGATGCTGTAGCTGGCACCAAGGCCAGTCAGATGTTAATCCACAGTACAATGTGCTCATTTAAAGGCTGTGTTAAATTAGGGATAAGAGATCCAGACCAGGTTCAGACCTGTTTTCTCGGGGCAGGGATTTAACTGATGTGACCAGATTTGTAGTACTGGGTGCAAAAAACTAATTCCATTGCTTAATCGTTTCTTTCCCCCCACCTCACACCCACCCACCATCCCCCAACACACTGCACACGCTGGATGATGATAACATACCTCTATCAACATAATTTACTCATGTGAACATGCACTCGTATTCACAAGAATATTTCTCCCCATCTCCACCCGATGTGTTTCCACTTAGCAACGCAACCCAAGGTTAGGAAAGTGTTGATGCAAGACCAATGGTAAATTATAATGTAGGTGAAGGCTATGTTTGCCAGGACTGTGATTCTATGGAGGTTTGTGTGCCAGCCCTTATCTCAGGGTCATCAGATGGCCAATTGGGTAAATACACTGAACGGCTTCACACACTGGACAGCTTTACAAAAAACGTAACCCAAGCGCTTTGTTTGTGTACATGTGTTTGCATATGTTTACATGCATTATCGGTGGGACTCCTAAACGTAGTAGACCAATGCTAAATTTAGTTCAATAGTCAGAGTACTGACCTAGCAGCACCGAACTCCTGGGTTCAAATCTGGGGTTTTAGTCACTCAAGATTGAACCAGGTTCTCAAGTACAGCCCAGTTGATGTTCTCAGCCTGTTCGCCAATTTCTGCAAAAAAAAACTACGATAAAAAATTAAATGTTTTTACTTTAGTTAGCTAAATTCCAACTTTGATCATTAATCAAAGTGTATCGCTTTTAGTGCCATGTGCCGTACATTTCTCCCACCGCAGGGCATATTTGAAAGTGCGTCTCTTCATGTGTGGACAGGAAGAGATCACTTGAAGACCGTTCAGAAGACGTTTTGTGAAACCTGTAATTCTCTATCACGCAAGCCTGCGGTGCTTTGTGGGAGCTCTCAGTTCATCATTTGTCTCGTGGCATGGCACCAGTAGCTCAGTTGCAATATAATTGGGAAATATACTTTCTTTTTTATTCAATAGACAAGGGTAACTCGTGTGGTAAGGACTATACCTCTGGGACTCCCACCGTCTGCTGTACAAGTTTAAGTGCCCACTAAGGACGCTTGCCTAAGCGGTCAAACCAAACCAAATGGTTTGATCTTTTTGACTTTACACATGCGCTTATGTTCGTACAGGCAAGTCGTCGCATGTGTGTTTAAATACCTACACACACTAGTCCACGCACTAATACTTTGCGCATGGATGTTTGAAAAAATGACAATGTTGTATTGACTTTGATGTAGTGAAAAAATAGCTCAAGATATAATCTATAACAGGGATGTGTTAAAAACATTTGTAACCAATAATAACTTCTTCTAACCGCTGCCAATGTATTACGGCTTCGGTGATGGTGCACGCAAAAATAAATGGTGAAAGAGATTACAGGGGTGGGTGGATTGGCAGGGTCAGAGCATCGATAACTGCTTAGAGCTTACGTTTAAGTCTAGGGAGACACAAATGAGTAAACTTGGTTCTCAAATGGAGTTAAGTTGATGCTTTCAGCTTGGCCACCAATGACTGAACTAATAACCCATCACCACGTGACATTTAGTCTTCCACTGAATTTAGTCAAATGCCAGCCCGAGCAATTCAAAACATGAGTATGTCACACGACGACAAACGTTCCTCTCATAGCAGGACGTTTTCAAAAGTGTGCTCCCCTGGTATATGTGGAATAAAGTAGCTCGCAGGGATCTCAAAAGTAGTTTTGCAACAATATATCCTTCTGTGGGACTGTTCTCAAACACAGTAATTGCACTGCCCTGTGAGCCTTCCAAATGGATTATTTGCCTCGTGATATGAAGCCGAAAGCAAAGCTGGGTTAAAATATGGAAGAAAATAAAAATAAAATACCGAAAGGTTTCATACATCACCATGCTACCGGAGATACATTGTGTTTAAGGGTACAACCACTCCAGATTTGGGAGGTCAGTTGCAATATCCAAGCTATATACGACTTAAATGTCATAGGTACAAGTAATTACTTAGAATGTGTAACGCAAGTGAACGTTCAGCAACTGAATACACGAGAGGCCAGTATTTGTAAGCAGTCAACCAATACTCTGAGCTCTCACAGCGATGTCACTGTCAAACCAAAGCTGCGATTGCCTGGATTATAACTGACTTTGCACAGCTTGCAAACACCGTGCTGCTATAAATCGGTGAAGTAGACATGCCATTGTGCAACCTCGCCATACAGCATGTGGATAAGCTACATTGGCACAAATTCCGAGATATAAAGCACCTCGGGCACACACATATAATCTCGTCAAACATAAAGCACCTTCTGTCAACATACAAAGGTCACGATAGCACAAGCAGGATTTTTTTAAATATATAATATATAAATTGTGAAAGCCCTTGCGTGGGCAATGTTCCACATCCAATAGGTCTTGAACGATGTCGTTTAGAAATAATTCCGCGATACTTCGCTTGAAATTTTGTATTCGAGAAAACGTGTGCTTGGAGGGGTACTGAGCACGTGAAAAACATAAACAATATTGGTAATTCAGGGCATTACTATGGCTTGGAGAACTCAAGTCAAAAACATAATTACGTTCGTTAAGGTACGTGGGCTAGTGCAGGATACGTGCTTGAAGGGATAATGGCTCGCGGTTGAGGATAATGATGATGATTTGAAGCTTTCGTGACTGCAGGAATCCATACTCTTTGGTTCTTTCGGTAAAGTCACATTATCATAGCTACTTCCGTGCCCAGTTACATGCTAATTTCTCACTTTAACATCACGAGACCCAGACACTCCTTTATCACCCTTGGGCTACACCCATTTCAAACCTTTAAAACAGTCTGCATTAGCAACAGGCCATGCTTTCCCACCTGATGACGGAGGCTTGTGTTGCGCCCGAAACGTCGTGATTTATTTTATTTTTATGCCTACGTGACTTTACCGAAAGAACCAAAGAGTAATAATGATGGGAATAATGATGAGAATAATGATGGAGTGTCAGCCAAGTTACATCCACCATGGATATGGAACGATGGAAATCAGCTCGTGTGTAGGGGGCTAGGTGCATTGGTACATCGCAATACATTTCGATTTAAAGCTTTCGTGACTGCAGGGATTCATCTTCTTGGTTCTTTCGGTAAAGTCACGTAGAAGGTAAATAATAAAATAATAAAAATAAAACATAATAAAATAATTCTCACGACGTTTTGGCCACAACGCAAGCAGCCATCCTCAGGTGAAGAACAGGTCTGTCGGGAATATCAAAAAAACCCATCAGCCATTCAGACGCTGTATTCCCGACAGACCTGTTCTTCACCTGAGGATGGCTGCTTGCGTTGTGGCCAAAACGTCGTGAGAATTATTTTATTATGTTTTATTTTTATTATTTTATTATTTCCCTTCTACGTGACTTTACCGAAAGAACCAAGAAGATACATCGCAATAGTTTTGCGGAGGAATTCCTCCAGCATTGGACTGATCGTGGCTGATGATAATAACGACACAAACGCTTTCTTTCCTCGGGTGTGCGGTTGCAATGAAAGCTCACACGGTGACATTGTTCATGAGAAACAGTATTCATTTTAACAAGTGTATCATTATGTAATTCACGTTTTTCTAAGCAATGTCGAATAAGGAATACATTGAACACTCACTACCAGTCCGTGAGCTCCTGAACACCTCACGGAAAGCAATCTTACTGTGGCATCTAGACATCGTATTTTGCTCAACATGAAGACAAGAGACAATAAGGATCCTAAAACGTAAACATAGATGTCGAAAATGGGATACAACTGCTTGTTATTTTTATGGGTTCATCCTGTCAAATATTATTTGTAACTCCAATTAAACTACTCTATCAATGGTAATATATGTGAATCCTAGTATCTACATCCCCTAATCAATCCACAAAATTCACATTAACCACGTTTTTCATGGATAAGAGTAATGTATAAACATCCG